AGTACAGCACAACATTTTCTCGGTGGCTGCCAAAGTTTTCGCAAAGTTTTTTTATGAATTTGGAAACAGTCAATATTGGTTGACAGATCTTGTCTGGTAAAAATCTGCATCTAAGAACAGCACTGAGATGAAAAACAGACTTAACATTCCAAAAAATTGAAACCGGCTGTTAATCTTACCCCCTGCTCAGTCGATCTATGATCATGAGTTCTGACCAAGATGTAAAGCTGCGATTTTGGAAACAAGCGGCTGAAATGAGCTTTCTCTGAGAGGGATCGTTGGGCTTAGCGTTTCGATAGAATCAACAACTCAGTTGTACGGACACCGATTTTCCAGGAGAAGTCATAGCAACGACGGTTTGGGTTCGTTTCATGAATGCTTTCAAAAGACAAAGCTTCTACAATTCAACCGAAATGCAAAGACCCACCCCCTCGGGATGACCAAGAATGACTTCGGGTTAACTGTGTATCCAGGCTGAAGTTATCCGCTCGATTGAGGTCAGACGCTATCACAGAAGCGAGAACGTTGAAAGCACTGTCTGACTCTGCTGTCCCCGTGATTTGAAGGATAGGCGATCATCGGGCTGAGTGACTTGTCCGTAAAGAGGGTACGAAGAAGTATTTTCACTGAACAGAAGATGGCATTTGTACGCTGATAGGTTGCAGAGTGCCTCTGACTGATGCTTTCATCACTTTAGCTGTTCTGCGGTATTCGTACGGCCGGCAAACGGTTCCAACAAGAGAAGTTAATTCTAGCTAAGGTTCTTTCCTTTGTTTTGTCCCGCAACATCAAACCATGCCTAATTCCAGCCTTTGAATCCTTCCAAATAATGCCTTGAAACGCTTCACTTCCAGCACTTGTTTCTAATGGCCTTTTACGTCGCTTTGGACCCTTCTGGTGTAGGTTCTGTGAAAATTGCTGCGGTTTCGTTTTTCAAAGCAGTGAAGCACTCAACGTACTCGGCGATAGCAAATGTAGCCAGAAATGTGAAAGTCACCTGTTGGCTTAAACATATAAATATCTTGGCATCTGGTCTAGTGGCTGAAAGCTGCGTGGTGGAATAAGGGTGATAATGACCATAAAAGAGGTTC